ACACACACACACACACACACACACACACACACACACACACACACACACACGCACGCACACACACACGCCACACACACGCCACGCATGCCAGCCGTGCCCCTAGCCGTGGTAAAGTGGCCGTGCAGCAGTAGTATGTTGATAAGATCAAAATCATGGCATCTTCTCGGAGGAAGCAGGCGGCGGAGGGGCGTGTTAGGAGGAGGCGTGGGGGGAAGAGGCGTGGGGGGAGGAGGCGTGGAGGGAGGAGGCGTGGGGGGAGGAAGCGTGGGGGAGGAGGCGTGGGGGAAGAGGCGTGGGGGAGGAGGCGTGGGGGGAGGAGGCGGTGGGGGGAAGAAGACCGGGAGAGGAGTAGGAAGAGGAGGAGTGCTGTGGGGAGAGGACTGGGAAGGTAGGAATGGGAAGGCGGGAAAAGAAAAGGGCGGAGGGAGGGAGGGAGGGCGTATGAGATATAGCTACTATAATAATACATTACGTATTAAATACATACGAATATTGTTATTGAACTAGTATTATATAGGATAGTTTTACCTTTTGCCACGGGGTGCATTTCTTCATCTCCTTCACACAACGTCGGCGAAATCACGCTCCGACACCTAACGGAGAAAAAAAACCGACAAAAAAAACAAGATATATTACAGCCTACAGCAGAGTAGCTTTAAGGTGAAAAATTTCCGATCATTTCTAGCGTTGAAAAAAATTGAAAAACGCGAAAGCTGATTATTTTCGTTTCGTCGTGTCGCAAGAGAGTAAAGTGGTCGCGACGCACACGTTACACGCATACGAGAAACAAGATTTGCGTAACCCGAAACCCGTTATTCGTAACGCGGGGAGTATAGCTATAATTTGCCACCACCGGAGCAAGCACACTGGCATGTAGGTATGTTTATACACACGGGGAGCTATTAACACTGAAACGTACCCCTAGTAGAAAGCGGCATAGAACCGCAATGTCTGGAAATATCGATCCGAGAATGCAAACGAATAAATTTCGAAACGGCCTTCAATTTTTCAATGTCGTTAACACTGTGCAATGTTACATTTACACAAAGGTAAACAAAGGAGTGTAGTAGCGAGCACGCAGGTACACAAGCAATAGCAAACATAGGGACGTAGCGATGGAGGTAACGGTAAGAAGCGTAAAATTATAAACGTAAACAAGAGAACGTGATAAGGGAAAACGCACTCTAGCGACAATTCTATCGCAACAACTCTTTCTCAAAATAGCGCGAGACAAGAATAACATGGAATGGAAATAGGACGTCAAATAAAACGTAAATTATCGTAGATTCCTTCGATAGCTGCGTTGCTAAACATGGTTGTAGGTGCACGCGCGTGCGTGCATGCATGCATGCGTGCGTGCGTGTGTGCATATGTGCGTGTGTGCGTGCATATGTGCGTGCGTGCGTGTGCATATATGCATGCAAGCAAGTATGCAGGCAAGCAGGCAGGCGGGCAGGCGGGCAGGCATATAGGCAGGCAGGCAGGTAGGCAAGCAAGCAGGCAGGTAGGCAGGCAGGCAGGTAGCCAGGCAGGTATGTAGGCAGGCAGGCAGGCAGGCAGGCAGGCAGGCAGGTAGGCAGGCAGGCAGGCAGGCAGCCAATCAGGCAGGCAGGCAGCGGCAGGCAGGCAGGCAGGCAGGCAGGCAGGCAGGCAGGCAAGCAAGAAGGCAGTTAGGCAGGCAGGCAGGCAGGCAGGCAGGCAGTATCCCGCGCAGTGTGCGCGCGGACAGCTGGTGCAGCTTCCGCGCCTCAGCCTCCGCATCCTCCACAGCATCCTCCCAAGCATCAGCATCAGCAGCAGCAGCAGCAGCACCAGCAGCAGCAGCAGCAGCAGCCGCAGCGTCAATCGCCGATGAACAGGGTTCGCGAAGATTTCTTCCTTCGCCATCGATTTTCACCGGCAACCCTTCAGCGCGTGTCACAACATCTGGCGCTCTCTCCTGCTGCCGCTGCGCTGTACCCTGCGGCGAGCGCGCCCCGCCCGCCCGCATGGCTTCAGCGAGCAGCCGAGGCTCCGCCGCTACAGGGTAGCACGGGTTTCGATCAGCGGCGATAGCGGCGGTGAGGTTCATTGTCGCACGCAGCCGACGGGGATTGAGAGAGGAGGCCGGGAGAAGGGAGGGGAGGAGGTAGGGGAGGGGAGGAGGGAGGAGAAGACAAGAGAGAGCGAAGGAGCGATTGCGGAATAAATATAAAGAGGGGAGGGTAGGGGGAAGAAGGAAAAGGGGAACGAGAGAGGGAAAGAGGCGGGGAGGAGAGGAGGAGTGCCGGGGAGAAGGAGGGGAGAGAGGTAGGTGGACGGGAGCGAGGGGAGGAGAAGATGCAGAGGGGGAGGATTGGAGGGGAAAGAAGAGTAGGGAAAGAGAGGGCGGGGAGGAGAGAGGAGGCCGGAAGACAGGGAGGGGGGGGAGGAGAAGGGGATAGGGGGTAGAGGCGGAGGCACGGTGAAGGGAAAGAAAGAGAGGGGAGGAGGAAGGATAGAGAGGAGGAAGGGGAGGGCAGGGGAAGAGGGAGGGGAGAGAGGAGGAGGGGAAGAAGGAAAGGGTAGGAGGGGGATGGAGGTGAGGCAGAGTAGAAGGGTGGCCAGAGACACGGAATACGCACCGACGGGGAGAAAGGAGGGTGAAGCCAGGAGAAGTGAAGAAGGGAGAGAGAGAGAGTTGAGGAGGGAGGGGAAAAGGGGAGGGGAAGAAAGGAGGGGAGGGATGTGATGCGATCGGGAAGGAGGAGAGAGGGTAGACAGAGAGGAGGTAGAGAGGAGGGGAGAGAGAGGGAGGGGAGGAGGGGAAGGCGGTAAAGAAGGAGGGTAGGGGGAGGGAGGAGGATTTCATAGAAATGTCCAATTATCGCGCGGATTATAGCGGTGGAAAAATCGTGTATCCGCCTTTTGAGGAATGACTCTTATAGAAGACAATCGCCTATCACGCTCTAGATCTCTGCTCTCTCTCTCTCTCTGACTCTCTCTCGTCACGCTCATCTCTCTCCAGCCTCGCTCGTCTCTTCTCTGCGCTCGCCTCTCTTCTACGCTCTCTCTGGCTCCGTCATCTCTCCCTCTCTCTGCTCTCTCTCGGCTCTCTCTCGTCGGCATCTGCGCCTCTCTCGTCCTCTCTCGCCTCTCTGCTCTCCTCTCTTCTCTCATTATCTATCCAATCATCTCTCATCTGCTCTTGCTCTCG